ATGTCAGCAAGGAAGCAGCGCAGTGCGTCAACAAAAAAAAAAAAAAAAAAAAAAAAACACTGGTACACGTTCACAGCCTGCCTGGGCTATATCGTGAGAGTCCTGCCTCAACACTTAAGTGCGTTCATGATTCCTCAGAAACTCAGACATAACTGGGCATCTGGTACTTACATTCATTAAATCCGGCAGCTTTTCAGCAGCAGCCTTCCGGTTATATAAGTGGGTGTCATTCTTCACCAACTCCCCCACCTCTGAAATGGGGACGGAGATAAGCAAGATTGTCTCCGAAACTCACAATACACTGACAATTTGTGAGTAGTGGCAGTGTATACTGAGAAAGAGTCTGATGTATGATATACATTAGCCAGGTAATAGTATCTGCCATTAATGTTGGAAGGGACCATGGCAGAATCAGTGCTGTAATTGATTAGCAATGCCTGCTTCACCTGTAGAAGGGGGAACAGCAGCACTGTGAGTGATTAGTAATGTCTGCCTGGACACAGCATGAAAAAGTGGTGCGTATGCAACTGCTTTTCCCTCCTTCCTTCCTTTTAAAGGATTTTTAAAAATTTTATGTGTGAAGTGTTTTGCCTGCTTATATGTATGTGCACTGTGTGCACATGGAGACCAGAAGAGGGCACCAGATCCCCTGGAACTAGAGTTACAGAGGTTGTGAGCCACCATGTAGGTGCTGGGAACTGAACCCAGGTCCTCTGGAAGAGCAGCCAGTGCTCTTAACCACTGAGTGATCTCACCAGTCCCCCCACCTCCACCCCTTTTGAATAGACTGTGTAGCCCAGGCTGCTTCAAACTCACAATCCTCCTGCCTCTGCCTCCCGGATGCTGGAATTACAGACATGTGCTACCCACATCCACTCCGTATGTCTCTTCTCTACCCCTGCCCTAGAGTGCTCACCTGGGGCACTGAGGGGTCCCGGGGTCCTGGCCCTGGCCGCTGTAGTGTTAGAGGAGAGGGGAGAACAGCCCAGCCAGTGTCACAGGTGGACACCGTGGGGATAAGACTGACCCTGGGTGCCATTGCAGACCCATCATCCTGGATCCAGCTGACCCAACAGGCAACCTGGGCCACTCTGCCCGCTGGGACCTGCTTGCCCAGGAGGCTGCAGTCTGCACATCTGCCCTGTGCTGCATGGACAAGAGCGGTACCCCCATCAAGCCATGGCTGGTAAAGGTGAGAGGCGTGCGAGGTAAACAAAGGCATCCTTTGGGAGCAGACATGGTCATGGGAAGACATGGTGCCCGCTAAGGGGCAGGACCCACCCATGGCCCCTGCGGACCCTGCGCCTCCACTTCCCGTGGGGTGTGTGGTCTCCGCTCTGCAGAAATGCTGAGGTAACCAGCCTGTCTTCCTTCCCACAGGCCTCTGTATGAAGTCCAGAAAAATCAGTGGTCACACCGCCTGAGAGAAAGTGACACCAGCCCTCAGCACGGGAGACTCAGAGTATCGGGCCAGATGTGTGTGTGTCTGTCTGTCTGTCTGTCTGTGAGTCTACATGTGTGTTTGTGTGTTTATGTGTGTCTGTGTCTCTGTGTGTGTCTTCATGTGTATGTATATGTATATATGTGTGCATGTATCTGTGTGTGTCTATGCGTATATATGTGTGTCTGTGTGTCTGTGCATATCTGTATATAGGTATGTGTGCCCCCTCACACCATCTCCCTTCTGACCGCCTGCCCACCCACCACCCTCTCATCTCTTCCCTGTTCCACCCACCCGGTGGAGTTTCATACATAGACCTCTACTTCGATCATCCAGTGCCCCTGACTCCCGTGCTGGGCACCCTAGGATCCAGACATCTCAGACTCTGCCCATCTGCTCTTCAGCTACCCCTGGGCCCCGCCCCCACCCCCCCACCGCCACACCCAGCAGCGCCCCAGACCTGCCAAGAAGCCTCTCTCTTCCTCAGCATCCCTCTGCCTGCAGAGACCCACCAGCTGTGGTCCAGCTGTGCTCCCCCATGTAATGTGACCGTGGCCATGATGGGGCAGAGGCTGGGGCCATGACTAGGGAACACCCCGCCCACAGCCACGGCAATGAAATAAGCAAAACATGTGATAACTGGGCCTTAGGAATGTAGACGGAGCAGGAAGTGTCCCAAGCCTCCCCTGTGGCTCCACCCACTCCGTTAGGAGGTAGCACCTGGGGAGGAGGGTAAGAAGCACAGAAGTACAGCTTTCCTAACTCATCACCCGTGAAAGTTCAGGCTTTTTGATAATGCAGTGCTTAGGGGTCACCTACACCCCTGCAGCCCCAACTCACGCTCTAAGTGTAACCCCAATAAACCTGTTGGCTCCCCCTGCTTAGATTCGGGTGGAATCCTTTCCTTGCTCAGCCGTTGCGCCCTGTCTGGGATGAATAGACATTTGTTGGCATCATGCCTCACCATCCTGCCTCCTGATGTCTGTTGTTCCCAAATACAGTGGATACGGGGGTCCTGCTGGGGGGCGGAAGGGATGGGTTTGCAAGCCCTTGATCCATAAACCTATTTTCCAGAAAGAATCCTCACCTTTGCCACACTATGGGTGGACTGTGGATGGATGGCATTTCTCTCTCTCTCTCTCTCTCTCTCTCTCTCTCTCTCTCTCTCTCTCATCCCCACCAGGGCCAGGGTGATGCCGGGGTGTCTCCAGGATACATATCTACCTGTCTTACATGAGAAAATGCCTCCAACCCCCTGGCAGAGTCTGAGTGACAGCTAGGAGCCAGGGAGTGGAGGGTAGGGAGACAGATCCTGTGGCTGTCCCAGCCCTGCACACAGGAAGCAAGTGGCAGACGCTGGGGGACAGTGTGGCCACAGCCGAGTCCTCCAGAGGGACCCCCCCCCAGGGGTGGACGCGGTAGTGATGCTTCCACAGAAGAGAAACAGAGGAAGGAGTCTGCACTTGCCCATCCCCCACTAGGGGTGGCTCAGACAGCCCGGCTCTCACTGGACCACTGCTTGGGGGCAGAACAGCCAGAAGGACAGCACCTTCCCAGCACTTTTCATCCTTGCATTCCATTCCTGCCTCCTCAGCTTAGCCCACAGTGACCAGCCTGCGTGAGAGGTGAAGGGTCCCCAGGTCCCCTCTCTGCCACCATCTACCTTGTGTTACCTGCTCTTGGCTCCAGGCAACACCAAGACTCCACGGGGGATTGGTCCCAACTCCGCCTCACCAGACCCCAAACTGTGTCTCTTGATGGCCGGCCGCAGGTCACATCATTCTCAGAACGCTAGACCAATTGCTCTCAACCTTCTTAATGCTTCACCCCTTTAATACAGATCCGGGTACTCGGTATGTACATGGGCAACCTGCCTGGAGACCAACAGTCTCAGTTCCTAAAACCATTCGAAATATGTGCTATCCGATAATCTTAGGAGACCCCTGTGAAAGGGTTGTTCGATCCCAGAGGGGTCGAGACCCACAGGTTGGGAACCACTGCTCTAGACAAAGGTGACCAGCAGAGACCTATTTTTCCCATGGAACCCAGCAGCAGATGGGATACTGGTCTGGTATCCCAGCCCCTGGCCCTACCACACAGACTCTGGGCCCTCTTGTCAAAATGGCTCCGGAACTGGGGCGACTGTGAGCTGGAGTGAGTGAGGAGTGAGGTCATGGCCATCCAGGCAATGGAGAGGCCTTGCTGACCTAAGCCCTTCCATCTCCAAGAGCAGCCACCATGGTGGTGGCAGAATAAAGCCATTGAGCTTGACTCAGGCCATAGCCCTGGGGAGAAGGTCCGGGGAGAGGGGAGGGGGGCCGGGAGGGGGGAGAGGAACAGGGCAGAGCTAGGGCTGGGTGAGGTGGTGTACAAACGCAACTCTAGCAGTCAGGAGACCGAGGCAGGGTCCCTGGCAGCTGCTAGTGTTCCCTGCAGTCATTTTCTGTCCTTGGCCTCACTTAGAGGAACTTCGAGAGTCCTTCTGCTTGCAGGGTTCCTGTGCGGGAGCCGATATTTTGTCACGATGGTCCAGGCACTCAGTTGGACTCTGAGGGGACTTGCAAATACAAAGTCACTGTACACACGTACACACACACACACACACACACACACACACACACACACACACACACTCCAGCGAGCTTCCCAGGAAACCATCTGTGACATAGGCTAGCTAAACGCCATGTCCCATCCTACCTTGAAGGAAGATGCTATAAATAATAGTTTATGAGAGGCTGAGGCAGGGGGATTACCAGTTCAAGGCCAGTTTGGGCTACATAGCAAGGTTCTGTCTCAAAACTAACACAAAGCAATTGAATTGGCAAAATTTCCTTGTTTTTAATATAATTTTTAAGTATTTACTTAGTGTGTGTGCATGTGTGCGCGTGTGCGTGCGTGTGTGTGTGTGTGTGTGTGTGTGTGTGTGTGTGTGTGTGTGTGTGTTAGGAAGCTACTCTGACCCTTCAGGGCCCTGTGTTCACCCAAAGGCAGAAAGGAAGCCTACATCTACCAGGGCACCTGCCTTGCTGTGTGTCTTTGTGCAAGTCAGTTCCCCTCTCTGGGCTCTTTCTCTACTGCTCAGCCTGGCACTGGAAACAAGAGGAAAGGGCCATTGTCAATGCACGGCCTCCTCCACCCTCTATAAAAACCCAATTAGCTTAGCGTTTAGTGAGCACTCAACCAATGGTTTTGTTATTTTTGAGACAGGCTCCTCTGATCTACAGATGGAGGAGATAGAGACACCAAGAAGTCAGTCCTGCACTGGAGGACACACACACACACACACACACACACACACACACACACACACACGGAGGTGTTCCCCCACCCCCACCCCCAGGCTCTGGAGCTTTTAGGTTTAACTCGGGGTGTCCCGGGAGTGGCTGGCCAGCAGGAAGCTCCCCTGCCAGCTGCTGGGCAGTGACTCTCTCGCACTTGGGTTTCGATTTCCGATTTGCTAGGCGAGGCTGTGATGGGGGGGCAGGGCAGCAGCTTTGGACTCGACTTCCTCTATCCAGAACCAGCTCCCCCGGCAGGGCAGAATCCCCAGAACTTGAGCTACACAGCCTTTGCCATTTACAGCCTTCCCAAGGCCAGCCAGCAACTATGGGAAACTGGCTGGCTGGGGGGTCATCTGCAGGGCCATCTGGGGGGTCATCTGCAGGGCCATCTGGGGGGTCATCTGCAGGGCCATCCGGGGGGTCATCATCTGCAGAGCTGCCTGACTTAACCTCGGTGCCAGCAGACAAGCTGGAAGAGTTTATCCAGGCAAACCTCAAACCCAACGAAGAATGCCTGAAGCTGATAGACCAGGACGTGGATGCCATCTCCGACTTCCTGCTGAGCAGAGAGAGCCCTGTGGTGAGGGTAGCTAAGGTGAGGAGACCCAGGTTTGGGGCCAGGGCTGTTCCTCCCCGCACCCCCATGTTCCCACCATGGTGATGCTGAGCAGGGCTCCACACCAAGCCCTGGGGACTGCACTTCACAAGGCTTTTCTCCCTCTGCGGACAGACCGTGCAGGGGCCCAAGCTGCAGCCCGGTGTCAGCTTCTGCCTGGCAGGCTGCTTCATCTCTCTGTGCCACAGCGTCTGGGTCTGCAGAGTGAGGTCCGCCTGGCCCCCACTTCAGAGTGTTGTGATACACTGTCGCACACAGTGTTCTCAGCCTCGATGCTCAGTAAATGAGAGGGAATGGTTACGTGCCTTTGTTGGGTGGCGTTTTTTTGACTCCACGTTTTGGGAGAGTTTTGTTCATGCAACTGTGTGCCTCTCATTGCAGTTTTGAGTTGCCTCCAGATTGGAGCTAGTGTACAAAACACGAGCTTGGACACAAATGGGCGCCGGCAACCTGATTTTAAAATTGTGGTGACATTCGGGGATTTCACTTGAGGAATATCACTGCCTGGAGCCACAGAAAAGTGCAGACCTCACACCTGCCACTTCATCCCCTGCAGGGTGGCTCCTATGGCCGGGAAACAGTCCTAAGAGGCTGCTCTGATGGTATCCTTGTGCTCTTCGTGGATCAGTTTCATACGTTTCAGGAACAGAAGGAAAACCAAAGTGAACTCCTCAGCTTGATTGAACAATGGCTAAAAACCCACGAGAAATACAAGCCAGCAAAGTTTGGGGGCATCCTTGTTGTCCTACTGTCCACACAAGGGCAGAGGATACTCTTGCAGTTGCTTCCAGCCTTTGATCCCCTGTGTGAGTGCTATGGGGACTGGGGGGAGCGGGGGGGGGGGGGAGTCCAAACTTTCTGGGAGTACTGGGGAGCTGCTTGAGTCCTTCAGGATGAGGCCGTGCCAGACAGTTTCCAAAATGAGGCTTGTAAACCCGTCTTAGTCACCGTTCCGTTGCTGTGAAGGGACACCGTAACCAAGGCAACTCTTACGAAAGGAAGCACTGAATTGGGGGCTTGCTTACAGGCTTAGAGGGTCAGTCCCTTATCATCATGGTGGGAAGCAGACAGGCATGGCACTGGAGCAGTAGCTGCACATACTGATCTGCAGGCAGCAGGCAGAGTCACTGGGCTTGGCATGGGCTTTTGAAACCTCAAAGCCCACCTCCAACAGCACACCTCTTCCAACAAGGACACACCTCCTAATCCTTCCCAAACAATTCAGCAGCAGCGGGCAGCGTGGCGGGGGGG